AATAAAATGATTTATTATTTTGTATAAGGTTGTCTGTTGACTGTTGTATATAAAACCCATTCAATATAGTTGTTGTTACCTCAGGGGAGGCGGAAAAAAAATAGAGTACCGGCACCTCTTTTGGGCCACTTAAAGCACTGACCTGAGCAGTGCCGCAGACTGATCGGATCCATGCCACTCCACTCTGCATTGCTGCAGTAATTCAGGCAAAAGGAGCCCCAACTAAGTATTGAGTGCTGTACATGCTCATACTTTTTATGTTCATACTTTTCAGTTGGCCGAGATTTCTGAAAAACCTTTCTTTGTACTGTAATATTCTAATCTTCTGAGATACTGAATTTGGGGTTTTCATTAGTTGTCAGTTATAATCATCAAAGTTGTGAGACATAAACACTTGAAATATGTGAAAAAAAAGGAAAAAAGAGAAATGTACATATCTTCATGCATGCTTTGCAAGCTCAGTGGATGTTTTTTTTTCTTTTTTTTAGAGAAAAGCCTGTCTGTATAACGGAATCATTAAAATGTTAAAGGTTAAAAAAAATAAAAAGAAAGAAATATGTGTGGACTGAATGTATACATCATACAACTTTCATTTTTTGAATGGAATTCGTGAAATAAATCAACTTTTTGATGATATTCTAATTTTATGACCAGCACCTGTATATATATATATAAATTCCCCACCACAGGGAGAATTTGTGTTAAATTTTGCATTGATAGTATATGGATTTGTACACTTGCAATTCTGGATACTAGTCTGTGTTAAATCAATAGTAATATATTTTTAAATATTGTGTACTTAGATTAGGAACAGCAGCACTTTTACAGTTGTTACATGTTTAGTGAGCAGCGGCCAGATTGTGATGTCATGCATTAAGATGTCAGCTGTCATAATGTGAATCCACCCGAAAGAAACAGAACCAAGCTTGCACACTTGGATACAGGATTTCTGGATTAACGTCTTCGATCCTGAGGACACCCCTGCTTACATGTAATTCTAGATATTTATTATGCTCCACCTCGTACGAGTTTATCCCCGCCTACCAAAAACACACCAATCAGAGTTGGCTCACATGACACATAAAGGCTCCGTTTCTCCCTTTCATTCCTTCAGGGAGAGGGACAGTTAAGAGGAAACGCAGCAGCTGAGTCGTTCCTCTTGTGTTTGTTTGAAGTGTGTGGCCTAGGCAGCGTGCGTGTTTGGTACACCGCCGTTCGCAGGAACACGGACTCTGTCGACAAAATTCCCTTTGAACAGAAGCGGGTGTGAGGAAAATATAAGTCCTAATTATTAATTTATAAGGAAGCATGGACTCTTGCTGATGACAAGCAACATTCTCGTGGATTTCACTAGTCTGGAGTGGAAATATGCTGCTGCGTTCATGTGGAAGCCTCGAAGTAGACGGAAATTGTCATAAGTAAGGCGAATGTGGTAAGTAAACTGACAAGGTTTGTGCGTGTGTGCGCGCGCGCGTTTTATGTTAACTGTATATGTAAAACAAAATGTATTTCACTTTTTGTGCGTCATCTCTTCAAAAGAAGTGAAACTGTAAGTCAGTGTTTGTATGTGTTTTACATGCCGGTGTGGCTGTTTACTAATCAGAAGCTTTGTTCGAACCAGCTCCAGTTTGCATGCCAAATATCATTGGTCAAGCTGCCCCCGATGCACTGGTCGGAGTGTGAATGTGTGTGGGGAAAAGCAATTAACTTCCTCGCGCGTAAATTCAACAAACCGCGCGTGTTGAACTTATCAGCCGCGTGCACAAAGAATTCATCGTGCACACCTTGAAAATTTCCATGAAATTCTATTCCAAATCAAAACCCCATAAACTGTGGTATGTTACAATAATATTAACTCTGAGTGGTAGATGCTGTTATTCATTAATGCCGCATAGAGGTGGGTCAGAGCAATAACAGAAATTAAGTTTGAAATTACATTTTCTATAGTTACCTGACAGCAGCTGAGCTATGCCATTATGGCCATGTCACATGAATGGTGTGACAGCTATTTCACTTCTATAAACGAATAAGTTCATGTTGAATAAAAAAAAAAAAAAAATCTTATTCTTCAGTCAAACTTTGAGGCAGTAGCTCTCAAATGTTCTTGTAGATTGTTCAAAAGAACCCCCAAAGTCTAAAGAGTCTTTGAAATGTGAGAGTTTGAGCATGACAGGCCAAAGGTAGCAACTGACCTCTTTATATACCAGTGGCCCAGTATTAACTTGTTCCTTGTTCTGCAATTACAAGCTCTGTGTAAACAATCTTGGTATCAAAATAAACTTACACTTGTGAGATGTAGAACTTGGAGCAGATGTTACTGAGGCTGAAACACAGAAAGGCAGAAGTGGCTCTGATGTGGCTAGTTAGCTGCAATAGCTCCTGATAATAATTAGTCTATTGGCTGACTTCAAAGATAACTGAAGAAACTGAGAAGCCAGTTTCTGTCTTTTTTCTTCTGTGTTTGGCTGAGATTCTAAGGTTTTAGCACGGTTCTACACGAGTTACATAGCTGCTTTTCATTTTCAAAACCTACATGCTAAGACACCCAAAAAATATAATGTGAACGTTAGATCCCTTCTTTATGAGGAAACAAAAATGCTCATCATAAGTGCTCAAGGTTTTGTTTTTCTGCGCCGAACGGAGCTTCAGAGTACCCAGCCTTCTTGGAGTCACTGAGTGTTTGAGGTAGTTCCACCTGAGACCCTGTTGTCCTGCTGGGAGACTTCAACACTCATGTGGGCAACGCTGGTGAGACCTGGAGCAGCGTGATTGGGACTGACCTGCCAGATCTGAAGCAGAGTGGTGTCCTGTATGTCCATAATGAACACCATGTTCAAACAAAAGGGCAGCCATAAGTGCACGTGGCACCAAGACAGTTCAGGCAACAGGTTGATGATTGATTTTTGCAATCGAATCATCAGATCTGCAGCTGTCAGGGGTAGACATTTGTTCTATCACAAGTAAGAGAAATAAGACACTGCAGACCAACTCAGAGTTTTAAGAACGTGCGCACGGGTGAATGTCCCTGAGAAGACACACACACCGATTGCAGGCTT